AAGCAATTTGATTACAGTATGCCTTAGACTAGTTTTCGAAATGTCTCTTTTGGTTGGGGTTTGTTAAGATTTTGAGATCTGTGGGAAATTTTTCAGCCATTATATTATCAGATATTTTTGTGTCCTCCTCTATTTTGAGGACTCTGATTACACAAATCTTAGGCCACTTGAAGTTATCCCGCAGCTCTCTAATCCTGTTCATTTCTTTCTTCACTTTTTTTTGTTGTTCTGTGTATTATCTGTGGATAGTTTGTATTGCTGTGTCTTTGGATTCATTAATCATCTTCTGCAATGCCTAATCTATCACTAATCTCATCCACTGCATGTTTCATATAAAACAATGTAATTTTTAACTCTAGGAGTTCAGTTTGCGTCTTTAGTTTTTATTTATGTATTCCATGTCTGTACTTAACAAGCTCAGTCTGTTAGCTTCTGGAACATATGGAATATGGTTATAATAACTTTTTTAATGTTCTTGTTTATAATTCTGTCATCTGAATCACTTATAGCTAGACTTAGATTGAGTAATTTTCCTCCTAATTATAGATTATATTTTGCTGTTTCTTTGCCTGCCTGGTTTTTTATTGGATGCCAACAGAGTGTGAATTTTACCTTTTTTGAGTTTCAGATATTTTTATATTTCTATAAATAATCTTGAGCTTTCTTCTGGGACAGCATTAAGTTGTTTGGAAGTAGTTTGATCTTTTCAAAACTTATTTTTAAGCTTTTAAAGACGATCCCAGAGCAAGTTTTAGTATAGGACTAATTTTGCCCACTATAGGCAGTGCTCTTCTAAATACAACTCCTGATGTCCCTCGAATTACAAGGTTTTCCCCTCTGGCTAGTGGGAACGTGGACTATTCCTGACACTGTATTAGCTACAGAGATTATTCCCACTGTTCATTTTGGGTTGTTCTTTCCCTGGCTTCATGGTAGCTCATAAATATATTATGGTTAGTACTCAGTTTTTGACTTGCAGGGGACCCTCTATACTCTGGAGCTCTCATTCTATGTAACTCTGTCTTCTCCATTACCTTGCCCTGCAAACTGTAGACACCTTGGTTTTCTGGGACTCCCACCTCTATCTTCTCAACTTGGGGAGGTTGCTGGAGTGCATCTAGGTTTCCTTATTTGACCTCTGAAAACTGTCCCCAGGCAGTTGCTAGGATAATTTTATGGCTCACTTTATTTTGTTCTTCTCTTTCAATGATCACTGTCTTGTGCTGTCTAATGTTTGAAAACCATTGTTTCATATATTTTGTCAGGTTTTTTGGTTGTTTTAGACAGTGGGGTAAATCTACTCCCTCTTAGTTCTTTTTGACTAGATATGCAAGTCCCAAATACGTGTGTGTGTGTGTGTGTGTGTGTGTGTGTGTGTGTGTGTATGTGTGGTCACATATTTTTCTCAAAATGGTAATTATGTCAGTTCAAGTCTTCTGGGAAGTAGACACAGAGATGGAATTTGAAATGGAAGAGATTTAATGGAGGAGCCTCTAAAGGATAAAGAGTAAAATGAGCAGGAATAGGCAAAGAGAGCCTTAAGAGTTCACTATAGGTGTGGCATCTGTGAGGAGAAAGAAAGAAGAAAGATTGACTCGGACAAGCTTCAGACTGTAAGACAGTCTGAGGTAGTGTCTGTCAGGTTAATGGGGAACTCCAGACCAAATATTGTTCTTTAAGGATGCTCTGTCAAGCAGAAATGACCCAGTTCTTGCATCTCTGCTATTCCCAGTCATTGACATTGGCAAGAACACTGCAGGGGATCCTAAAGGTATGGCAGCTAAGTGAGCCTGTTAGCTAGCTGCACTCTCTACAGAAGGTTCTGTCTTTCTGTTAGAAGCCACATGTTTTACTTTTCACAGTTAAATTCATTATTCATCAAGAATTCATATGTATATGATGTTAAGTTAGGGTCATGGTTCTTTTTTCTATACTGATAGTCTATTGGTCCACCACCATTTATTGAGATGACGATTCTTTGCACCATTGAATTTCAGTGATGCCATTGCAAATCAAGTAACTATAGAGGTATGTCCTTCCCTTATTATGTCATCTTTGGTAATTCCTATCCTGAATTTTATGTTTATCATTGTTTTTTTATATGTCAGTGTTTGACAAACTTTTTCTGTAAAGGGCCAGATAGTAAATACTTTAGCCTTTATGAGACACATGGTGTCTGTCTCAAGAATTCAACTGTGTGTGTGTGTGTGTGTGTGTGAGTGTGACTGTGTAAATGAATGTGCATGGCTGTGTTTTAATAAACCATTATTTAAAAAAAACAGGCAGGTGGCCAAATTTGGCTTGTAGCTGTAGTTTACCAACCACTGTCCTATAAAATATATTTGTTTTTTAAAGAATATTTAATTTTAAAGAATTTTTAATTTAATTTGGAACCTTAAAGAAATGAGCTCATACTTTGTGTCTTGTGTTCATGAGATTTATTTATGCTGTATATAGTTACTTTTCTTTTTTCCCCCCACTGATAATTCAGTGCCGGTTTATTCAGTTATTTTAACTGAAAATATTTAACATAAAGACTTGTTAAATTGGTGCTGGAGAACTGAAAAGGCACACTTAGTTATCATACAACTGCAAGAAACAACTAGCATTTCCAGGGCCAGGAGAACAGATGGAACAAGTTGGAATTATTAAAATGTGGAAGTTTTGAGGAGGAGCCCCTCAGAGCTGTAACTTGGACCTCTGATGATGGGGAACCAGCCTGACTGGCAGTGCTGTCCCTGAGGAGACATGATAAAGGCTGGTTCTGAGAGGCAGGAAAAATTGTAAACTGGAGTCAACTCCTCTTGCCAGGGATGACACTGTCAGGGATGGAACAGGAAGCAAATAGGAAGGAATATGCCCTTTCTTCCTCTAACAACCCCTAACCTCCCTCTAGTTCTTTTATTGACAGAGTTTAACAGATAGTCATGTGGCAAAGAAGAAATGAGGTTTCCAGAGGCTCAGCCTCAGCATTGCAAAGCAGAGCATGGCAGGGTAGGTTTGAAGATGAAAGTCACTAGCATTACAACCAGTACCTATAGAATTCCATTGTATAAGTACACCACAGTCTAAGCATTCTCTAGTTGATAAAACCTGATTCTCATGTTTTTTTTCTGCTAAATACAATGTTGCTAAAACTCTTACCTATGAGCAAGAGTTCTTCTTGTTTGTTCTTTTATTCACTGCACCACTAGTGAAATGTCTATGGATGGGCTATCAGCAGATTCTCCCATTGCCAAATCCAGTGACTCCCTTCCATATTCTGTTTAGGTTTTTCAATCATTAGCACTGTTAACCCCACACTCGTCTTGAAACTTTTCTGCCTTTTCTCCCACAATATTATGTTTCTAATTCCCCTCTTGTCCTTTCAAATATAAAATTATTTTCTTGGATTTGTACATGATTTTTAAAAACTATTTTTTCTTAACTTTAAGGAAAATTTTAAAACATTAAAATATACAAAGAAAATAGTAAAAATCTAAACATCTTCCATAATATCATATAGCTAAATTTTAAATCTTGGTTTTTCTCTGACTTGAGAGCCAGATCTGCATTTCCAGTTTCCTGCCCAAACATTTCCACATGAATGTCCTCCTGGCATCTTAAATTGACCATATCTAACTAAACCAAACTTATTTTCTTACCGTGTCCTCTTTCCCATTTCCTTTTTTCCCCCCTCTCGTTTCCAGTTTTGGCTCTCAGTATTTCAGGATTCGTTTTAAGGGTCTTGGATTATTCTTGACTTACCAGAAGTAATTGGACTGACCTTTTGTGTTTGCATAAATAAATGCCAAGGATCATAGTTCCTTCCTTTTACATGTTACTTCCAGTTTCCTTGTGATTCCCTGAGTTGCATGGCTTTAAAGATCCCTCTTTATGGTGTTCAAGTACTGGGAGAATATTTTGTAGCACAAGAGACAGTGTAGTACAGTGGTTAAAGCACAGACTCTGGGACCTGTGCTTGAGTCTTAACCCTACTACTTAACTGTTATAATCCCAGGGGAGATATGTACCCTCACCTTAAAATAAGCATAGTACCTACCTAATAGCATTGTTGGGAAAATGAAATGGATTAATAAGTGCAATGTACTTAGACTGTTCCTGGCATTTAGTAAGCACTAGAAATGTGTTACTTTTATGATTATTACTTTTTGGTCTAGTACTTTTTGGAATGACCTTCAGGATATATTGAGGGGTTAGAAACAGTGCATCTGCTGCAAATCTTAGTATCCTTCCAAGCAGCCTGGGGGTTATGGCGTAGGAAAGATTCTCAGCATCTTCCATTCAGTATTTGTTTCTGGACGTTC